TTCAGACAAGCCCAACTTAATCAAATTTATCAAAATTTTACCCAAATATCTTATTATATTGTAGTATTGTTTCGTCTTTTTATTCTTCTGAACTTCCTATCTTCCTCTTCTTGTGATTTTAACAGTCAAATTTCTAAAAACTCAACAAAAAAATGTGCAAAAGAAATCACCAGATTGAATTACGTAATTTTATAAAAGTTAAGATTGAACATGTCATAGTCAAATTAATGTAGCATTATTGTAAATATGAAAAAATTAATTATTGTACGGAACCCGGGAATCGAATAGAACCGAATCCAAATGGTTTCATAATTAAATTTGGACCCGACGATTCCACTTACTAAGTACCTAAAAATTTCGGTTCGATTCGGTTCTCTTCAGAACCGAACCAACCATGTCCAGCCCTAATGCAAATTGAATAGTGATTATCAAAACAACAAGATAGTACCTATTTATTGATTTAGTGTGTGTTTGGTAGGGGTTTTTTGGGGGAAGAATTGATTTTGAATAGTGATATGATGGGAAATGTGTGGTTGAAAAAGAAGATAAGATTATTGATGTGATAGAAAATATTATTTTATTGAAAATGTGTGGTTGAAAACGAGAATTGATTTACTGTTGAAAATAAGAATTTTTACCAAACATAGCCTTAATGAAGACTTCATTAAAAAAAGAATTGAAGCCTTTTATACAAGGTTTTTGCTACGGACATTGGTTATGTGAACTCATAAAAAGCAACTAATTCCGGATTAGTTTATGACATTCAACATAAAGAGTGCATGCCTTATTTATACGCTTGAATTACACAAACCACCAAGTCGGAATTATTGTGAAGTGTATATCAATTCAGCGACAATTCCGACAACTTCAATTTCATTTAAAGAAATCATTTATTGGAGATGATCAAGCTACGTCTGTTGCTTATTTTTCAAACAGAGGTTCTCATCCAACAAGCTTTGGAATTCTTAAATCCGATATTATTGGCCCAACATCAATATTCTAGCAGCTAGGTACGTTTCAGTAGAAAACATCATTACCAAATTTACATTCAGCATGATTTCAGGAACATCAATGTCTTGTACTCAATTCAGTGGCATCGCAGCATTGCTCAAAAGTGCACATCCTAATTGGTCTCCGTAATAATTAAATCTTCAATTATGACCATTGTCGATTCTATTAACATTGTCATTAACCTAATTGAATACAAAACTCTGCACTGTTTCCAGTCATGTAAACCCATCAAAAGCAACTGATCCAGGATTAGTTTTTAACATTCAATCTGACTATTACATACCTTAGTTTATGACATTCAACCTGAATATTACATACACTGTTCATCATGCAGTGTGACATTTTCTAGCAATACATTGGAGATGCTCATATAAACTAGTTTGCATACAATCAATTCTTGGACATAAGACTCATGGACAGTGAACCATTTTCTATTAAAGAAAATAATATATACAAGTCATCTATTTGTTCACCCCAGCAAAGATAAGTAGTGTTACTTGAACAGATATATCAACACCGGAAACACCTCCAGCACAAGATTATAAGTTAATTGTGCATCACCAACGTTTGTCACTGTCGATGAATGCTCACAACCAATTCTTCCCAGCTCAATGAAAAATGTGGGATGATTCAATTGAGCTACAGGTAAACTTGTAAATTCTGATCCATGGTAGTTTATAGAACGCTGCATAATGTCACACATATGAGTTCTGTGCCATTATGCTTGGACTTTCCAAAAATATACATTGGTTGTCGCAATAGATCCTTTTTCTTCGTCATTTTCATCTTCTTTGTCTACATCCTCGTCCCGGAAGTATAAGTCGAAGTCCAATGGAATCAACATCCAAAGCAAAGAGAAAGAAAAGCATAGCAAGAAGAGAGAGAGAGAGAGAGAGAGAGAGAGATTGATTGATTTTATAATTAAGATATTTAGGGAACAGTATTAGAAATCGTCGAACGACACGATGAAAAATGAGAAGCCTTTTTGGAGTAAACAGTATTGAAACAGTTATAAACAAGTACTCGTGAAAAAATGAACAGTGCAATTCCATCCTCTCGTTTAAGGACATGTAAGATAATATATAAATAGAAATGAAAGGGGTGGATCGGGTGGTTGATGAAGCTCCGCCGCCATACCTTCCATGTTGGTGCCTCCGCCAGTCCCCACGTCTTAATTGACCTACTCGCCCGCCGGTTTATCAATGTTCGGAACATGTTCGTCGACGAGAGCCTCTCAGTTTCGCCCCCTCCCAAATCTGCAAGGAACCAAAATCAGACTCACAAGCTGAGATCTCATAAACATAGCCCAAGAAATACACAAATCTCATCGCACTAATACCGACCGAAAAGAAACCAATCACAGCAGCCAACAAGATAGGAAGAAGATGAAGAGAACGCTCGAGAGACAGAGAGAGAAGAGACACAAGCCCGAAAAATCAGAATTGAATGAAGGGAAGAATACATAAACAAGGGGTTTACTTTTACCAATTTCAAAAATACAAAAAACATGTTTTAAATTTCAAAAATCAGGTTTTTTTTAATTTTTAATTATGAAATAATAATTATTAAATTAATTTATTATTAATATGTCAAGGTCACAGATATACACAATTTGGTCACAATTCAAAAAAATTTAGGTCACAGTTCAAAATTTTCA